CCTACGATTTCGCGTGCTTGGGAAGCAATGCAACGTACTCCACCAGCAAATCCTGCGACTTTACATGCTTGGGAAGCAATGCGAAATGCACCGCCACCACCTAATCCTGCAACTTTACATGCTTGGGAAGCAATGCAAAAGGCATCTCCACCACCTAATCCTGCAGCGATGAACGCTTGGCAAGCAATGGTAAGGGCATCTCCACCACCTAATCCTGCAGCGATGAACGCTTGGCAAGCAATGCTAAGGGCATCTCCACCAACGTCACCAACTGGACAAACTGCTGTTTATAATGCTTGGCAAAATGCAAATTTAGCAAGTCAACAACAAGCGAATCGTCCTCCACAAGTCTTCAATGTCATGCAACAAACACCTGGTAATGTTATTCAACCGCCACTGTCACAACCGAATCCAGCTGTGTTAAACGCTTGGAGCCGTGCTAATCTTGCATCACCACCAACGGCCAATAATCCTTGGAATCGTATGCCAACGTACCCTTCACCATATTCACCAGGAGGCTTACCACCACGAATGCCCGGCCCCGTTAGAGCACCTGCTCCAGCATCGTTTGCATCATTACTTTCTCAAGCACAGAGACAACATTTGCCTTACGTAGGAGCAGCGTGATTATTTATTCATTGACTATTCAAACGAAACTAGATTAAATAAAACTCAGTTTTCGAATTCATTTCAGACAAAAAATTTAATGTACACGATGATTTCATTGGGAAGAATGCAGCATATTTGAAAATACTGTTGACTCTGAATAATTGCATAAACTTTATCTGGTATTTTATATCCTATCGCTAAACTTCTTTCTTAATGCTTCTAATGTTCAAAAAAAGAAAAAAAATACTATTTCGATCATTGTTGAAATATCCATTATTGCATGTTAGATTTCTATTAGTATGAATTGATAAAATATACTCTACTAAGGAGTTCACTAGAGTTTCTACTCTTAAAAAGGATTGCTCATCATTGAAAAAGTCAATTTTAACAGAAGCACGCGGTCTGATAGAACAGTGTGTAAGTTTTCAGTATTAAGAAAGTCCTCTTTTTATTATGAAGTTGTATATGATGCAAGACATGAATTTCATAAACCAAGTGGCTATTAGCCACTCCATTATCTATATGACAGTTTTTGAACGCTCTTTCTCATTTCTATTAAAATCAATCGATGTACTTTTCATTTGAGTAAAAGATTTGGTTAAAAATGTTGAACAAACGTCTTTTTGATTTTTCTCAATTCAGTTTTTGTTTTAGTGCACAATCTAGAATCCTTGAATGAATTTCATTGAAGCTAATTAGTCTTTTTTTTGTTTTGAGGAGCACATTTAGTTATAGAGCATGATAGACCTTGATTTTTCTGTGAGTTAATTATTAATTTATTACATGCAAAATTAATTTGAGAAGAAACACGATTCTCTGTTTTCACCAATTGAAAGAGGCTGTTGAATGTGTCAATCTGTTGATCAACATCAAAAGAAAACAAAGCATACATAGTCTTTTCACAATATATGTCTGTTCAACTTTCGTCCATTTATAGGTTAAGAAGAATGTCAAAAGTGGTTAGCTAGAATGAGAATTTTATGCTTATTCTAAATAAATTTTCAAATTTCTTTTTTTGATTTAAAGTTAGTTCATTATCGAACATCCACTCTTAAAATAAAACAACATTTTGCAAGGAAAAGATTGATTTTCGTTTCGAATTTCGTTATTAAATATCAATAGATTCCGATCGTTTTTAAAAATATGTAAATAACAATGGCCAAATACATATTTTTTTAGCCTAAGTTTTGTCGTATAAACTGATTCATGAAAATGTTTTCTTCAAATTTAGATTCAGACAGTTTTAATCAAACTACGAATATGGCCTTCATTAAAACTTCCGTAACGACCTTGTCGTGACCTTCATCAAAAATTTACTGTCAATCAACTGACATTAAATCAAAAAAAGAAATCTGGATATATACAAAAGATATATTTTCCTAACTCTTTTTAAACGAAAGTCAAGAAAAGAATCGTAGAAGTTTTTGAATTGCTGAAAATGAACTACTTTTGAGTCTAGTTTGGTAGATATTTTCTGAAAACGTCATGATATCTTGTGAAAAATGTTATCATAGTCTTTCTATTGCACTCTCACTATATTCTAAAAATTTCATGCGATTTGAATGTATCAGCACCAAAATATATTTTAAATTGAACAAGTTACGTGAATGCTACCTTTCTCAACTGCAAATTTTAAAACATGCATTTTTGTTTCTTTTTTCTGTAATACATATGCTGTGAAGTATCTATGATTTTACTGAATACATTTTAAGCATTAATATATAACTTTAGACGTCGAAAAACCAAAAATAGTGGAACATTTTTGCTGAAAAACATTAAAAGTTATACATTATTTTGCTGCTGAGGAAAACTAAATTTTTTGATAAAAAACGTTAGGAGTCATGTTCATTTTCTCAACCATCACATATTTGATCGAACTGAAGCCTTTTTCTACTAATATTAGAATGGGCTGACGTTGTTTACGTGTTTACTCTAAAATCTAATGTACCACTAGTTTTTGGTAAGTTTCATATAAATTTAAAACTTTTAGTTCGAACAACACAAAAGAAGAACTTAGGCACTCCGCATAGTATCTCATATGTGGATAAAAATTTCAACTATCTTAGACGTATTGCAACTGAGAAAGTACGACAATTACAGAGAGAATGGATCACTTTTAGCTATAGCAATCAGGATATCTTCTAGATGGAGTAGAGATTTTCAGTCTATGACAGATTTTGTTTATCACATCGAAATCTATTGACTTTGAAAGTTTCAAAATTTTTCGATGAGATTTTCTCCAAAAGTGTCAAAGAAAAGGGAAAAGACCCTCTTAAATATTTGTTTTGTGATAAAAGAAATTTGATTGTTTTTTTATTAGATTTGAAACACAAGGAAAAAAATCAATAGCAACTTATATACTAGAACACACATGAATCGAGTCAAATATTTTTGTTTACAGTTATTCAAGCAAACTTGTGTGATTTGAGTAATGTAAAATAAGCAATCACGCAGCCAACCATTGTATCTGTTTTACTTTTTACAAACACTAATTGAAAACGGTACTGTCCAGGTGTAAGTGATTGAGCAAGTTTAGCACTTTTTTTATGTTTTATATTAATATAAATATGTTCAATAGTGTATGTGCCAATATCAAGATCACAGGAACATGAATTTTTATTATCTTTATTATTCGATCGAATAAAACTCTTGGTTTTACATGCTTTTTGAATAAGACCACAGAATGATTGTTTGTCACAAGTACTAATACCAGATAAACATGGAAGATGAATCCAACTAGTACCTAATTTTCGTTGAATTTTTGTTGAAAATTCTATATCATTCGAAAGTTTTTTTGTCACATTAAATGACATTAAAAAATCAAGTGCACCAGGAATAGATAATTGATTATTCCAAATATTAAATGATAAAATTTCAATAGGAAATGAGGTTAATTTTGGGTTTTCTTTACGACAATTAAGATCAACATCATTCAGTTGTACAAAATAAGACAAACCAGATATTGAATGAATAAATAAAAATAAAGCCAATATAAACATTATGTGATATTGATGATGTTTTATGTATATTATGATAGCAATAGTAACAATAAACTAGTTCTTAGTTTCTTTTGCTCCTTTTCGGTCTCTATTTGACACAGAATAGAAGCCATTAGAATGTATTTTTTCGATATAAATATGCGTAGATTGTAAAAAATAGATTCGTAAATATCAATCATTTATCTATACAAGAAATATCTTATCTGTGTATAAGAAAAAAATATCTATACAACTGATCCAAAAGTTGTTTTCACATTTGCATGTACTAACAAATAACATATCGCTATATCACGAAAGGTTAAACTATGAATAGCTCGTAAACAAACGCTATACTGTCCTATTATTTGTGTCTGTTTATGGAACCGATGATATTTTATAAACGCCTACAAAAGAAAAAAAAATTAATTGAATACAAAAATAAAACGATCTATTTATATTCATTCTTAAAAAGTTAGTCGTCTGTTCTTCAATTGCATAGATTAAAAATCTAAAACGAATATTAACAAAATCATATTATAGTAAGCTTTGTATTGTGCTCGTTACAATGAAAGAATTTTAAGGAAGACTCAATTTTAAGTCATATGTATAGGCAGATGAAAATCTCATTTTCGTTTACTTTTCTAATTTTATTTCTGAACTATATAGATTTTGTGATTTAGATAGTAATCAAATATTAATTGATGTTCGAAGACGATTGATTGAAACTGGTAATATTGATACGTGATTAATGACATATAAAAATTATTATGAAAGTATTAAATGGAAACCGACCGAACATTTATTAATATATAGTGCTAAATCTTTAAATTAACGTTAACAATTCTACTTTTAATCGATTTATGCAGGGTTTTATAGAGCTTGATCTGGTCTCCGATTACAAATTTTCGAAATTATAGGAATTCCTATATAGGATTTCGTTTTCTGAATTATACGATTATTTTCACTAAAAAAAGTAAAAAATTGATCAAAATTTAGGTATTGTACGTCGAACCGCACCTCAAATGTATGTGATTTACTTGCAAGAAACACCTATTCACATTACTTGCTTTTTCGTAAAAAGTGATCACCCAAGGGGGGGGGGGGGTGAAGCAACAACAAGCTGCAATCCCAGGTGCCACAGTAGGTTTGGCACTTGATGAAGCTTCACGAAATATATTTTATTGAATGATAGACGAGAAGATGTATATGATAGAAAATGAGTTAAAGAGATCAAGATCAATGAAGAAGCTATGTGTGTTGAAAGATGAGAAAAAGAGTAGTAGTGAAGCTACTAACTAAGAAAAAGAATAATGAATAATGATATATCAGAAGAGAGAGAAAAAGCGCGACAAAGGAGACAAAATAAAGAAAAAAGAGTCCTCAATGAAAGACAATAGAAGGAAGAGAGAGAGAGAACATAGGTGACGGCTAGTGCCGTTACAGGGGGGGGAGGGGAAGTAGCGCCGCGAAGATTCCCGTACTCCCCCTCAGGACAAAGTCAAATCTCGTAAAACTTTTCCACTTTTTTTGACAAAATATAGGAAAATCAATCGAAATATAGGATTTTTCAAAAAAATAGAAATTATAGGACGAATCGGAGCCCAGAGCTTGATGAATTGATTACCGATTTATCCTTTTTTTGATTTGAATTAAATCAATTTGTCATCGAAAAAGTTCTAGAAACCAATAACAGAAAATCTATAACAGAAAATCATTTCTTTCTTCAAAAATCTCTTGTTATTATTATTATTTTTTTCTGAATTCTCCAAAAGAATTTTATTTACTTAGATTCAAGATTATTAGACTAAAAGCTTTTGCTTACTATTAGTAATATCAATCAAATTTAGAATGATTGTCTAAATAGATTTGTTCGATTGTTAAAGATAACTTTAGACATATTTATTTTGATATACCATAGAAGTCGTACGAAAATTTCCACATTAATTTCATTAGAGTTGCTGTTAGACAGAGTCATCTATTGCTTATTTTTTTTGTCATGTTAACGAATCAGAAGAAATGAATATATATAATGTAATATATGTATATGATGATCAATCATTCAATTGAATTTTGTTTAAGTTTACTTACGAAGATTTTCATTTTGTTTTCGTTATATTTTAGATCAGTCATAATGGTACAAACACGTCGTCGTAAACGAGGCAAAGTTTATTTACATGAAATTAATCGTAAACGATTATGGACAAAAGAAAAACGCAAACGTGAAGTACGTGTACGTCATTGTCCATTAATACGTTCAAATTGGGAATCAAAACTTTCAGTACCAACAAATTATCATGAATTTGCACTTGTTCATGATATTAAAAAATCATTTCCTATACCAAAAACAAAAGATTTACTTAATCCAAAAATTCTTGAAAAATATATCAAAGAAAAAGAAGAAAATTCTGATAATGATAGTCCATCTGTACCAATGATTGATTCAACAAAACAAAAGAAAAAACGTCGACCAACTAAAGTTCATATTCGAGATGAACTTGAAAAAGATGCAAATACAGAACGTGTTAAATCATTGAGAATATCCGATCCAGATCGATTGTAGGTTTTATTAAAAATTATTTAATTAAATATTTTTTTTTCTATTTAGATTTTGTATTTATATGATTGAAAAACATGATACAAATTATGAAGCTATGGCTCGTGATCATCACAATGATTATCAATTAACAGCACGACAACTTGAAAGAAAAATCGAAAAATTTAAAAAGATTCCAAAAGTTTATGAACGTTATTTAGCTGAAAAAGCTGAGGGAAAAAATTTTTTAGCTGAATTTCAAATGGATGATTAAAAAAGAAAATAAAAGAAATTTATAATAAAAGAAAATAAATAATTTTTCTTTTTGTTCTTGTTAATTATTTCAGATGTCATGTATTATTCTTCAACTTGGTCAATGTGGAAATCAAGTTGGTCAACGTGTATTTGATACATTAATTGAAGATAATCTTACACATTCAAATCAAGCAAAATTATCCATAACAAATCATTCATCTATTAATGATTATATTCGTCATTCACTTGATCGATTTTTTATTCAAACTGAAAATAAACTTACGGCACGAGCACTTGCTATTGATACTGAACTTAAAGTTATTGAACAATTAATGGATGAAAAATCTCAATCGAAACGTCATTGGTCTTATGAAAAAAAATGTGTTATTGAAGGTAGAATTTTAATAGAAGATACGAGATTATTTGAATTTATCAGAAAGTAAAATTCTTCTATTTTCATTCAGAAAGGAACTATGTGAAATCATCCATCACTTTTAAACTTATATCATGATTACATAGAAAAAAAACTCTGACCTAGAAGAAATCGAACATAATTGAGATTTTCGATGTATTTTAATTCGAATTGTCAGTAAATTTTTTCTATACAATTGCAACTTTATAAGAAAATTATATTTTCAAACTTCGACATCGCACTGTTTATAAATCAACATTCTTCATAGAATTATTCAAATTACAATTTTAAGGATTTTTCTGATATTGTATTTACAAGATACTAAAGTTGATAATCTATCAATATCTTCAGACAGATATTATTTGAAATATAGATATTCTGAAAACTGTGATACAAGCTATTCTAAGTTCTATAAGGAAAATTCACTCACAATTTGATATTTCGACCACAATGTGGCAGGAGCTAAGTTTCTGTGAAGTTTATTGTAGTCTTTGAAGTCTTTATTCTATATGCGCAATATAGGAGCCAAAAAGTGATGAAACACATCGGATGGTTCTCCCGTCAGCAATGTATAATTAATCACAACATTAGAATTTCTTTGAAAACCAAAAAAATAAAAAAATCCTTCAGATCAAATAATTGTTTAGTTTTCAACAAGTTTTAAAAGTATAAACTAATTCTTTTTTTTCTTTTAACAAATGTAACTATATCGATTGAAAATCTAGTATAAAACTCAAATATAATGTTTTTCTTCTTCTACGAAAGTATATTTATCTGTTTTTACATGACAGAATTGTTTCAAATTTTTTATTCTCATCATTATAATATCGAGTTGATATTAATTTTACTATTAACTATATCAAGTAACAACAAAACATAAATGATTGATGAGCTAAAATTTATCTTCGCAAATAATGATTATAGTTCTTTGATCTTAAATTCAAGTTGAGAAGTAGTTTTTGTAATCAACTTTTCTAAAACTAATTTTTATAGAAAAGTAACATCTTTAATGTCTATTAAGCACTCTAATAACTAAGTTCAGAAGTACTGTTTTTGATATGTGTGTTTGATCAAAACCTATTCACTCTTATTGTCGACTTCTATATTAATATCAGTATCTTCGCTTTTTTTTTCTACGTCTCCGTGATTATCTGCATTGTTAATAATCTGTCCTGAACATCTATGAGTAAGTAGCTTGCTTTTCTTTGACCATCTCAACTGATAGTTATCATGCTCAGAAATAATTCATTAGATGATTATTAGTAGACGATAGCTATTATGCATAAGTAAATGTTCAAACAAGAAGAAATAAGAAATAGGTCATCACTTATATTTATTAATAGCTGTCGCTTTTTATAATAGTTTTAATTGTAGTGAGTCTTGACTTCTGTAGAGATCAAGAAGTCTAGCTTTTCATATTAATTAAACATATAGCTGAGATATTTTCGAAAAAAGAATAATTCAAATCCATATCTTATAGTTTATCGATAATTTGAAAAAAAAAGGTCGTCTCGGATCTGGCAACAATTGGGCATGTGGTTATCGAAATGGTTCATTAGCTGAAGAAAATATATTAAATAGCCTTCGATGGCAATTAGAACATGCTGATCGAGTTGATACAATTTTACCAATACTTTCTTTAGCCGGTGGCACAGGTAAAACAAAAAAGGAGAAAAATTTATTTTCTATTAACATTCGTCTTTCATTTAGGTTCTGGTCTTGGTGCTTATGTTGTTGAGTGTGTTCGTGATGAATTACCACGTTCATTTCTTTTAACAACAATTGTTGTTCCATATACAAGTGGTGAAGTGGTAGTACAAA